ACCCTTAGTGTGTATAATTTAATGTTTTTAATATATTTATAGTTGTTATAATCATCACTATAATCTAATTTTAGAACATTTTTAATCACCCCTAAAAAAAACTGTATACCAATTTCTCTCCATCCTCCTTCCATTCCCCTATCCCTCTGATCCTGTAAATAATAAATGAGGCCAGGCATGGTGGTTCACGCCTGTAATCCCAGCACTTTGGGAGGCCGAGGCAGGCGGATCGCCTGAGGTTGGGAGTTCAAGACCAGCCTGGCTAACATGATGAAACCCCGTCTCTACTTAAAAAAAAAAAAAAAAATACAAAAACTTAGCTGGGTGTGATGGTGGGTGCCTGTAATCCCAGCTACTTAGAAGGCTGGCAGGAGAATCACTTGAACCCAGAAGGTGGAGATGGCAGTGAGCCGAGATTGCACCATTGCACTCCAGCCTGGGCAACAAGAGTGAAACTCTATCTTAAAAATAATAATAGGCCGGGCGTGGTGGCTCAAGCCTGTAATCCCAGCACTTTGGGAGGCCGAGGCGGGTGGATCACGAGGTCAAGAGATCGAGACCATCCTGGTCAGCACGGTGAAACCCCGTCTCTACTAAAAATGCAAAAAATTAGCTGGGCATGGTGGTGCGTGCCTGTAATCCCAGCTACTCAGGAGGCTGAGGCAGGAGAATGGCCTGAACCCAGGAGGCGGAGGTTGTGGTGAGCCGAGATCGCGCCATTGCACTCCAGCCTGGGTAACAAGAGCAAAACTCCGTCCCCAAAAAAAAAAAAAATAATAATAATAATAATAATAATAAATGAAATTATTTAGTCCACTAGTTTGAAATTAACAGACGTGGACTAATCTTTATGCTTTCTCTGGAAAAGGGTTTGCTGAGTAAATAAGGTAAACAAAGCTATCAGAAAAAAAAAAAAAACAGAAGTTTGAAAAACCAAAATATTTGTATGCAATCTAAAAACCAATATAACAGCAATTGGCAACAAAATGTAATCAAAACATACCCTGAGATAATATCCCTTAGCAGTGCCTTAGGTTATTAATATAGGAGAGCTCTTTGACTAAGTTTTAAAAGTCTGTGAAAGGACACATGAAGTCATAGTTTAATTTTCGCACTTTTTCTTTATTCAGTAATGGTATATTGTGTAATTGATGGCATTTTAGATTTGGTGAAATATGGAATGTTTGAAATGATAAATATTAATAAAAAATCAACTATTACAGAGAAAGACTCAGAACATCTCAGGCAATAAAAATATCAAAATACTAGAAGAAGATTCGGTCTAAAGGGAAAAGCTACTTACGTTTGAAAGTAATGAAATAGCATTAATCTAAAATGTTAGCAATTTATTCCTTTCATTAATCCACATTAATCTTCTCTTTTGATGATTTTTGAATAAGTGAAAGTTTCAAGTTTTCACATAGATGCCAAATTTGGGCCTTAAGAATTTTTCCATCTAGGTATGCATGGGTGTGGGAAAATTTTTTTTCTCTCAATTCTTAAGGTTTTGATTCTGGTTTGTAAGATCTGTATATTGCCTTTATTATAGAGGACAGAAGGGTCATTCTTTCAAAGTTTGATGTATTAAAATAGATACCCTTATTTTGGTATTATTTATATAATTTCCTCCTAAGTCATGAGAAAACTCAAACAGCCTAGTTTAACTAGATTTTGTAACTCCAAATATTTGTAAAATATTACCTTAAATATTTAAAATGGAGAAATAAAATTATACAGGTATTAAGTTACTTTCCTGCAGCTTCAAACTTACTCATTGAAACTGCATTGTGAGGTAGGAGCTGGGACCCTACAGACCATATTTCTCTTTTGTAACTAGTTTCCTGTTATTTTTTCCCAATAGATATTACCAGTGGGAGATAGGAAAGTAGAAGAGGAGGAGCAAGGGATTTTTCTCCTGTTTGTTTACTTCCTTTTCCTGTTCATATCTCCACAGCAACAAAGCTTCACCCTAGTAGGAACAGGAGTGGCAAATGGTTCCAGTTTGCAGTTTTTCCACACGCATAAAACCATCTTCATCACATCCCCTCAGAGATGCCAGCATCAACTAGCTATTTCCTCCCTCTCAAAAATCTGGGTTCCAGCTTTGCAGGGTTTCCCCTCTGAGCTCTTGACACGTAGTTTCTTTGCAGAGGTCTGGATCCCAGTTTCTTAGGATTTCTCCGTCAAGCCTCTGAGTTTTCATATTTCCTACTACTTCCCGTTGTTCCTCTCAGCTGTGGTACTGATAGTTGCTTTTTGCATTTACTATGTCTGTGATATATATCTCTCCTCCTTTTTGCCTTCTCAGTTCTCCAGTTTTCCTGGTTAGCAACTTTTATTAAATTCCGTGTTAAAATTACAGGTGTTGTTTCTGTCTCTTGACTGAACCCTGCCTATACACTGGTCAAAATACTAGGCCTTTGCCAACCAAAGTCCTGGAGATCACATTGGTAGTTACTGAGCCTCTGCAATGTGCTGGGCTTTTCTCTGTTCCCTGTATCCCGTCAGATGTCTTCTGTGATCCCAGAGCTGCCTGGACATATGTCATTCTCACACTGCATTGTCTGCTTTTCTGTAGTATTTCTCATCTTGAGAACAGTGCTGATGTCTTTTGTCTCACTGTCCTTAGTTCCTAACACAGGATTCCTATAAACTCAGTGAGTCGTGATAAAATTATCTGATGAAGGGAGGGATCTTATTTTGGTAATTTTCAGCATCTGAAATTCTTCGGATAATGAGATGTTTAAACTAGATCTTAACATAGCATCAAAGATTATGTAATACCCTCCAGAAGTCATATACCTGAGGTTTGATTAGGGATTTCACCATGTTAGCCAGGATGGTCTTGATCTCCTGACCTGGCGATCCCCCCATCTCAGCCTCCCAAAGTGTTGGGATTACAGGTGTGAGCCACCGCACCCAGCCATTACTTTTACATTTTGATTATGCTTCTGCTTGCTTACTTTCTTGCTTTCTCTCTCTCTCTCTCTTTTTCTCTCTCTCCTTCCCTCCTTCCTCTTTCCTCTCTCTCTCTCCCCACTTTCTTTTCTTTCTTTCTTCGTCTCGCTCATCACCCAGGCTGGAATGCAGTGGCGTGATCTTAGTTCACTACAGCCTCCACCTCCCTGGTCCAGTTGATTCTCCTGCCTCAGCCTCTCAAGTAGCTGGGATTACAGGCACGCACCACCATGCCTGACTGATTTTTGTATTTTTAGTAGAGATGGGGTTTCACCATGTTGGTCAGGCTGGTCTTGAACTCCTGACCTCGTGATCCGCCCACCTCAGCCTCCCAAAGTGCTGGGATTACAGGCGTGAGCCATCGTGCCCTGACTATTCTTTTTTCCGTAAACTTTTTTTTTTTTTTTTAAACAAATTTGCACAAAATTTTGTTAATCGTAATTCTGGACTTACGACAGGAATCTCACTGTTCCCTGCATAATCTGTATATCTGTGTGTGTATGTAGTTGTACATCAATAAAATAATATCTGTGAACGCAACTTCTTAAATATTGTCAATAACTTAACTTTTTATGTGCTTTTCTCCTTGCCTCTCCCTAATTGGTAACTATTATCATAAACTTTGTTATTTTAACCTTTTCTATTAAAAATATTATATCTAGTTCACCTAAATAATACAAATACTGTGTTTTTTTATTTTTTTAAATTAAAAATTTTTTTTTTTGGAGACACAGTCTTGCTCTGTTGCCAGATACCAGGCTAGAGTGCAGTGGCGTGATCTCAGCTCACTGCAACCTCTGCCTCCCGGGTTCAAGCAATTCTCTTGCCTCAGCCTCCTGAGTAGCTGGGACTACAGACGCGTGCCACCACACCCAGCTAATTTTTATATTTTAGTAGAGATGGGGTTTCACTGTGTTGGCCAGGATGGTCTTATCTCTTGACCTCCTGATCCACCCGTCTTCACCTCCCAAAGTGCTGGGATTACAGGTGTGAGCCTCCGCACCCGGCAAATTTTTAAATTAAAAAAAATTTTTTTTTGAGACGGAGTCTTGCTTTGTTTCCCAGGCTGGAGTGCAGTGGCTTGATCTAGGCCCACCACAGCCTCTGCCTCCCAGGTTCAAGCGATTCTCCTGCCTCAGCCTCCGGAGTAGCTGGGATTACAGGCGTGCGCCACCACATCTGGCCAATTTTTGTATTTTTAGTAGAGGTGGTGTTTCACTGTTTTGGTCAGACTGGTCCCGAACTCCTGACCACATGATCCACCCACATCGGCCTCCCAAAGTGTTGGGATTACAGGCGTGAGCCACTGCACCTGGCCTTGTTTATTTTTATAAAAAAATACTAAATGTAGTCTTCTGGGACTTCTTTTTTTTTTAAAGATCATGTTACTAGTATTCGTCTTTATTGCATGTGGTTATAGTTAATTCATTTTTACTACTGTATAATACTCCATTCTGCAAATTTACCACAATTTGTCCTGTCTGTAATAAACATTTGGGTTGTTTCTAGTATTATGCTATTATAGACATGCTGCTATGACCATTTCTGTCCATATTTTTGGGTAAATGTGTTACAGTTTCTCTTGGATATGTACCCAGGATTAAAATCTCAGGTTACCTTTCTGAGGAAGAATTTGAATTTACTGACCTAATATTACTATTATTTAACTTTTCACCAGATAAAATAAGTTGAATTGCTGTCTCAGAGAAGGTAGGGCATGTACAACCCAAAGGTGTAACCTCTTAGTGCTTGCTTTATTAGTTAAAAAGGTTAGTTTCTAATGACTAAGTAGGGTAATTAGAAGCTCAGAATTATCAGTAGTCTCCTATGACCTTCCTGTAGCTATACTTTGAGAAATACAGTACTTATATGCAAACTCATGAGAGTAGGAGTGTTCATCACATAACTGAGATGTAAAATGATAATTGCCTTCTCACCTCTTCTGTTTTTTTGTTTGCTTTTTGAGACAGAGTCTCGCTCCATATTCCGGGTTGGAGTGCAGTCATAGCTCACTGCAGCCTCAAACTCCTGGGATCCAGTGATCCTCCTGCCTCAGCCTCATAAGTGGCTAGGACTATAGGCACATGACACCACATGTGGCTATTTTTTTTTTTTTTTTTTGAGACAGAGTTTCACTCATGTTACCCAGCCTGGAGTGCAATGGCGCGATCTCGGCTCACCACAACCTCCGCCTCCTGGGTTCAGGCCATTCTCCTGCCTCAGCTTCCTGAGTAGCTGGGATTACAGGCACGCACCACCATGCCCAGCTAATTTTTTGTATTTTTAGTAGAGACGGGGTTTCACCATGTTGACCAGGATGGTCTCGATCTCTTGACCTCGTGATCCACCCGCCTCGGCCTCCCAAAGTGCTGGGATTACAGGCTTGAGCCACCGCACCCGGCCCACATGTGGCTATTTAAATTTTTTTTTTTTTTTTTTTT